AAACTCTCCTGAATGCAGACTCCTGAAATTTAGGGTCATGGTTTCAAAGTTCATGGTCCTGAGAATAAACAAAAAAACTATTGTGGTTGCATAGAGCGGTAGACCCCATTAACACCGTCCCATGAATATTTATAGCACAGAACTACAAAAGAACATAGAGGCCATATTGTATTTCCTAGAACTTTCCTTCCATGGGGTCCTTTCTCTGTGGGTCACTTTAATGTAAGCTTTGCTTATTTAGTTGCACACTTAAGCCGATTAACTTTTTACTAAAAAAAAAAACAAAACCCTCCCTGTTTGTTTGTACATACACTCCCTTGACAAAGATTCACAGAAACTGCCTTAAACCTGTTAAATCCCTTTGCTGGAACTTGAAAGGAACTAAGATGCATCTCTGGGTAGGATTTCCCTGTAATTCTCCCCACTCCTGGCCCCTCCACCCTACCACCTCTGCCTGTTTCCTGAGAGGAATTCCAATGGTTTGAATGCTCCATATTTAGTTCCTGCCATCACCTAGGCTTGTCCCTAGGTGCCTATCTGATGCCACATTAGCGAGGTCTTTCCTTGCTTTTAGAGTTGGCTTATTTTGTGGGTGGACAAATGGCAGGCCCAGGCAGATGGTGAGTGCTTGTCTAAAGGAAATTAGGGACTGCAAGAGACCATCAGCTCCATTAGTTCCTAAACTTCAGTGTGCTGTCCAAGTGGGGTGACGTGGATGTGCATTTAAAGTGTGTAGCCCAGGCATCCTGACTTCACTGGAGAAGGGCGGCAGCAGGGGGTTGGGAGGTGGGGGTGGGGAAGACCTGCAGATCTGGCTCAGATCAACACGGATTTCCACAAGTAGTCTGTGGGCCACACCTACAGTCACACTGAGCTGTCTCATGGTACTGGTGAAGGTGAAAGTTACCTGTCCAGCCTACATCCAGCTCCAGTGTAGACCATGGAGTAGGGAACTCCCTTCCCCAGCAGCCTCACTGGGGGACATTTGTGATCAGGATGCTTAAGTGGGAAACTGAATAAAGAAAAGTGTCCACTGGCCCTCAGTGCAGTCCCAAGCCAGAATTGTAGCCACAAGAATCAGGAAATGGCTGGTGGAGGTGAGGTGATTGATTCCTTGTGGTTCTGGAAGGAGCCTTGGGGTGGGCTATGTAGCCAGGATGCACTGGGAAGGCAGAGGACTATTCTAGGCCATGTTGTCCAGAAGCTGGAGAACAATGTCAGAAAGACCAGAGCCAGTCTTGTGGACCCCAGTTCTGCCAGATCTGGGTCAGGGAGCCTGATTTCATCTCACACTGCCAGCTAACCAGCTCCCTGGAGGCTCTTGGAGTGTCCAGTGGGAGCATCATGAAGGACCCTCCAGAGCCACTCCTGCAGGGCTGTCCCGTCTCAGTGCCTGCTGGGTTGCCCAGACTTTACCAGGCTAGTAGTTCTAGAAAAAGAGTACTTCCTGCAGATCCCACCTGTAATCCCAATTCTAGAAGGTGGGCTGAGCTCCAGGCTTGGAGTTTAGATCCAAAAGTTCTGAGTCCAAGTCCTGCCCCTTTCTCCTAGGTTTCCCACTTGGGCTGGTGGTTAGCTTCACTGTGCCTTTCTTACTTCATTAAATCCATGGAAGGTTTGTACCCTGCCTCCTCTAGGACCTCTGCAAGGAGTACCCATTCTCTTTCTCTCCATCATTTACAAAAATACTTTGGAGGTCAGCCCCAGGCCCTGTGCTGGGAGCTGGGGGAAATGGTAGGGGATGGGAGATATGTACATGGAAGAGATGGCAAATTGTGCAGAGACTCCTGGGAAATCTGTGCTGGGTGTTCCAACAGCTCAGAAACTCTATTCTTTGTGTCTGAGCCTCCTGCTGAGCCTCCTGTCCAGCTTCAAAGTTCCTGAGGCCTCAAGTCCTGTCTGGCCATCTTCAGCAGCCAACATGGCAGAGTCCCTCCACTTTAGCTGCCCCTAACACACACACACACACACACACGCCACGCACGCACGCACGCACGCACACACCAGACCCTTTTTACTCCTGCCTACTCTTTCTTACTTCAGGGCCTTTGCATATGCTCTTCCCTTGGCCAACATGCCCTTTCCTCCTGTTAACCATCTGTCAAGCTTCGGCTCATTTGTTATTCTAGTGTTTCCCTTGTTGAAGTCATCCCTGGTTCCAGCCCCATGGCTGGATACATCCCTTCTGCTCACCAAGCTCCTATTTCTTAACCAGGGAGGCAAAGTAAGGGGTAGAATTGAAATGTTTTCTTACTGGTGAGGCACTGGGGAGGTACTGAGAGAGAGGCTTAGAAGAGGCAAGGAGCCTGTGTGTTACTGCAGCCGGTGGTTTCCCATCCCTTCAGCGCTTTGTTTCTGAGAGAAGTCCCCTAGCTATATGATTTTTCTGCTATGTTAAATATAATTGTTATACGCTACATAACAGCTTATTCCATCACTTTTCTCCAGTTTTATATTCATATTATAGTCATTAGCCACTGGCGGCAAGTCAATAAAAAACAAAATTTAAACTTTAGCTTCTTCACACTAACCATGTTTCTAGTTCCCAGTGACCACACGTATTTAGCAGGGACTCTATTGAAAAGCCCAAATGGAGAACCTCTGAGAAAGATGCAGAAAGTTTCTGTTGCACACAAATACAATGTGTTACACACCATTTTTTCTTCTTTATCGTTACTTTTTCTGAGTAATTTAGAAGCAGTTACTCTAATTTATTTTACTAGATTTCTTTTAGTAAAGCAGTTGATTTTGTGTGCAGTACTGGGGCTTGAACTCAGGGCATAGGTGCTGTCCTTCAGCTTTTTCACTCAAGGTTAATCTCCACGGCTTTGAGTCATACTCCACTACCAAGCAGTTGCTTTTATATCAAATTTCTGATTTTATTTCCGCTGCCTTATTACCCTAGTTCCCTTCCTGAGGATGAAAACAGATGAAAATCTATACCAGGAGGGTTATACTCCTCTCTTTGTCCAAGACAACCATCACTAATTGATCACAACACTTCTATTTCCCAAGTTATTGGCAGTCTTTAAAATGTCCCTCTTCTGGGCTGGTTTAGTAGTTTAGTGGTTTAGTGGTAGCGTGGTTGCCTCAGTACCTGGATTCCTCAGTATCACATACACAGAAAAAGCCGGAAGTGGCTCTGTGGTTCAAATGGAAGAGTGCTGGCCTTGAGCAAAAGAGGCTCAGGGACAGTGCCTAGGCCCTGAGTTCAAGCCCCAGGACTGGCAAAATAAATATATAAATAAATGAATACATACATACATACATACGTACATACATACATACATACATAAATGTCCCTATTCAATATCCTGCTCGTCTCTTTGAATATCAAGCCAACTATAATGAGCTGGGGAGAGAGGATGAACACCTTGAAGAAACCATGTTAGGAAGAACACTGGGACAACTGGGACAGGGATGTAGGATTCAGTTGCCTTGGTCTTACTGAGAATGAGAATGGTCAAGTCTCTCCCTCTTCAGTGGGGAGCTTTCTCGCTAACTCCCAGACACATGAGGCACTGCCCCTTCAGACTTTTCATTGCCCGTGCAGTGGGAATTGTCCTGGACTTGAGTCTTGGCTGTGAGGGGGACCTGCTATGCTAACTTGAACCAATCGCTCAGACTCTCTACAGGATGTGTTGGTTTATCTACCAGAAATGTGGGCTGGGTCTAGGTAGGTCGAGGAGGACCTCTAGAGACATTCTGATGCTGGACCACTGTCTTGGGGTAACAGTCACATCTCCTAGGGCCTGAACAGTGCCAACTCTAAAGAGTCATTATAGGATAGGCACCTCTTGGGCTGTGTCTTGTCTTGAGAAGAATATAAACCAGGAGCATTCTGGGTTCCTGGTATGGAATCTTTAAGACAGAAGGTCTAATCAAGAGGACCACAGGGAGGAGACCAGGCTGGTTATGGCATAGAATCCAGTGGTTCACCACCAGATCTACTCCCCGCCCCCTCCCATGTGCTCCCTCAGTGCTAGGTCTACTCCCTCTTGTGGCTTCCATGGGTAAAGGCCTAAATGAGCAGTAGTATAAGTCAATGCTCTTACAGGCCACACCTGCAAGGACATTGCTTGGTTTTGCTGAATATCACTGCTCACTTGGGCCATTGCCAAGGATCTCAATGTCTGGTGGATGTAGCTCTTCTGTTATATTTGCTGAGCACTGAGTACTAGCCCTATGCTGGCACTCATTCATATTGTCACACTTGTCATTTACAACCCTCAAGGGTGATAGTGATTGTTTATCCCCATTTGGAAGTCTCAGAGAGCTTCAGTTGTTTGCTCAATGTTGAACAGGCAGAACTCAAGACCTAGTCTGTCTGACCCAGTAGCCTACCTAGCTGTATACTCTCCTTAGAGTGAGAAGTGGGATTTGATAGATAGGGGTGTGTGTGTGTGTGTGTGTGTGTGTGTGTGTGTGTGTGTGTGTGTGTGTGTGTGTGTGTGTGTGTGTGTGTGTGTGTGTGTGTGTGTGTGTAAAGTCTATCCTCAATGCATTTAGAATCCAGCACAACTTGGAGGGCAGCTTGGGAGCCTGGAGAGAGCCCTGGTTTGGAGGTTCTGACTCTGTCACTTGCTGATTGTGAGACCCTGAGTGGATACCTAGAGTGAGTCATTTCTTCTCCGAGTCTTGGTTTCCTCATCTGTGGGATACAAGTGAGATTAATATGAGTTGATGAGAAACTAAAAAGGAAATGTTACAGAGGTGAAATCCATTGCTAATTGTAAAGCATGGAAAACCGTATCTCCTCCCTCAACAGCTGAAGCCTAGCACATCCTGGTGCATCGATCCTCCCACCCCCAAGGCTTTGATGCCTAGCATATCATTCTTCTTTGTCAGCCCCATCACTTAGACTCAGGGAGAAATTTGATGAGAAAAGCTACCTTTTCTAGTTTGTTCCACAATGCCCAGTGCTCTGTGGAACATTAGTAAATCTATTTTTCTGGACCACCAGCTATAGTTGACCCATTTATGTTTTTTTTTCTTCCTAGCTGTCTTCTGGGGAGACATTGCTTTGGATGAAGATGATCTGAAGTTATTTCACATTGACAAGACCCAAGACTGGACTAAGCCATCAGAAGAAGAAATGGGACATAACACTGGTAAGTACTGGTCCCTTCTTATGACCTGCATGGGAGCCATGAGGGGCTCCAGTAGGGAAGGTCCAAATCAGCTGATCCTTTGAAGAAAATCTCCAGCTGGGCACTAGTGGCACAAACCTGTAATCCTAATCAGAAGGCTGAAATCTGAGGATCTTGGTTTAAAGCCAGCCTGAGCTGGAAAGTCCATGAGACTCTTATTAACCACCAGACTCCAATTAACCACCAGAAAAACAGATGTGGCTCTGTGGTTCAAAGTGGTAGAGCACTAGCATTAAGCAAAAAGAGCTTAGGGACCATGCCCAGGTCCAGAGTTCAAGTCCCATGATCGACGCAGCCCCCCCCCCCCCCACCAAAAAAAAAAAAACTCCACTTATCTCTTTATGCAGGGTCCAGGCTGGAGTCAGTGGTTGGTTTTTCAGTCTTTGGCCTGGGGTCAGGCTCATGGCAGACTGGAGAGAATTTTTTTTTTTAATTTAATTTTATTTTTGTGAACATACTGTACAGAGGGGTTACAATTACATGGGCAGGATAATGCGTACATTTCTTATCAAGCATTGCAGCCTCCTCCTTTGTTTACCCTTCACATCCCTTCCCAGCCTCCTCCCCCAATCTTCCCCCCTTCCCTCCCCCCCCCCCCCCCCCCCCCCCGCCACTCGCACCAACGTTGTAAAGCTCGTTTTCGACATGACTTGTACTTCTCATTGTTGCAACAGGTCCACCTGTATCCTTAAACGACTTGTTTTTCCCCATCTCCTCCACAAGTTATACTGACATCAAATATAGTGAAAGCAGGGGTTATACTGTGGGGGAGGGACATACAAAGCAACAAAGAGATAACCTTATAAATGCATTAGAAACAAATGCATGAAAGAAAAAAACATTAAAATACATATCTAAGGGTTCATTTTCCTAACATCACATTATCTGGCCTTTTCCGCTTGACTCATACATATACTAGATATTGCAAATAAGGGAAACCATGGGACCTATGTTTCTTTGGGCCTGGCTTACTTCACTTAATATAATTTATTCCAAATTTTTCCATTCTGGAGAGAATTTCTGAGTGAGCTGACAATAATGTGAATGACTAGCCTATGGGGAGATATTTGTCTCTTGGGCTCTTATGCATTTATTTGGTCCACAAGCCAAGAGACTCCTAACCCTTAGTCTCCCCCTCCCCTTGCTTGAGATGAACAGGAATGAGACTGGCCCCCTCCCTGTCCACTGGGTTCACTGACCTTGTGGTCATCCTCGGAAGCAGTCCAAGTTGCTGATTGTGGGAGCTGATGTCCTCACATGGGCATCAGCTTGTCATTTGGTGACTGAGGTTCCCATGTACCTGCAGACCTCTTTTCACTATCCCTTCCTTTCTTTTTTTTTTTTTTTTTGGGTCCGGTCGTGGGGTCTGAACTCTGGGCCTGGGTACTATCCCTCAGCTCTTCAGCTCAAGGCTAGCGCTCTACCACTTGAGCCACAGCGCCACTTCCGGCTTTTTTCTTTTTGCTTATGTGGTGCTAAGGAATGGAACCCAGGGCCTCAGGCATGCAAGGCAAGCGCTCTACCACTGAGTGACTTTCCCAGCCCCCCTTCCTTTCTTTTGAAGCATCTTGAGCACTTTTCATGGGCCAACTGAGCGAAGGAGGAAAGAGCATGACCTTATTTCCTAGGAGGCCTTTACACCAGCCGCCTGGTTTGATCTGTTCAAACTCTAATAACTTCTCCTAGTTTCAGTTTTCCTATTTGCAAAACGGGGATGAAACCAACACTCACTCCATCAAGGTTCCGGGGATTACTGCAAAGGAAGCAGGCTGGCCCAGTGCCTGGCATGTAACATCTCAGGAAATGGCACATATTGAAATGAGACACTCTTATGGCAAATGTGTAATGAATACAGAATGGACGGGAGGAGAGAAATAAATGGTGAAGCCTACCCTGGCACTGTGTGAATGGGCATTCTCACACTGTGTCGTGAAGGATGAGTAGGAGTTCTGAGTGGAGGCAAAACAGGTGCAAAGGCAGGGTATATGTGAGGGAACCGAAGTACAATGTGGGCCCATGGAAGGTGCCCTTTTGAGGTGGGCTGTGGCAGGACATATGTAGAGAGGCTGGCTGGGACAGTCTCTTATCTTGGTTTATCTACCAAGCCAGTGACCTTGGGCTTTACCTGGGGGCTTCAGGACTTCTAAGGTTTCTGAATAGGAATGTGACTTTTTGAGCTTGAACTTGGGAGTCTACCACCTTGCATAACCCACTCACTAAGTGCCTTAGGGTACTGGCTTCCTGGTTGTCTGCTTATTGAAAGCAGTGGGGGACAGGGGTGCAGGGGGTCTTAGACGCACATCCCTCAGTTGGTGACATGCAAGAATGTGCAGATGGGAGGCAGGAAGGTGCCCAGAGTAGTCCATTATGAGGAATGATTGCGGCTAGAGAGGTCAGGCTTCAGAGATCCCTATGGGGGTTGGTGGATAAGAGACTACAGTTGTGGGAGGTTGGGGGAACCCTTGCCAGTGCCTGGTGCCTAGCAGGGAGGTTTAGAAATCATTATGTATACCAGATCTTTTTTTCCTGTGGTATTTGGGTTTATGACTAGCATTTCTTAGAATTTTGAGGTCTTTTCTGTGTGGTTTGAAACGTACATTTGAGTTGTAAATGAAGTCGCCACACTTAAGTGAGCACCATGGTAAGGAGGCATCTGTTCATGAATCCACCATGCTCTCCCACCACAGTCTTCCTCAGCTCTTCCCAGAGGCCTAGACAAGATCACCTTCACTGCACCCTGAATGCTTCCAATGGCTTTTAGACACTTTTAAAAAACAGTATTATTCAAACATAGTGAACTTTACATATCTTAAACATACAGCGTGACAGATGCTTATATACATACACACCCTTGTAACCATCACCTGGGCCAAGGTATGGAACATTCCAGATTCTCCCAGGCTCCAGAGATCCCTGTTGATCCTCCTAGTTAGTGCTCACCTCAAAGTAGCCACAGTCTGATCTCCATCCGTGTGGGAACAGCATCCTATGGAATGCTCTTTGGTGTTTGTCTGTTTTCCCTTGGCTCCATGACTATAAAATTTACCCATGGTGCTGTGTGGGGCCGGATTCCTTTCTCTGCTTGTAGTATTCTGTGCTATATCATACTCAGCTTGGGTCTCACCACAGGTGGGCCAGTACCTTGAACTCAGAAGACATTGGCAATATCAGTAGAGAGAGAAGATGGAGGTAGGCAGAGATTGCACACCTTGGAGCCTTCTCCCAGGACCTAAGAGGAGATCAGGACTCCATAGGAAAACATGTACTCAGTGTTTCATCCTTCCCAACCTCCAAAAGCTTTTTTTTTTTCCCCAGTGTGTTTTTAGAGCAAGATGATTTTTATCCTGATTGCTTCTCTCGGAAGGTCAATAGTACTATGCATCCAGCTAGACTGTTATTTTATTTTCAGAATGGGAATCTCTTTTATTATTTTTGATGATTAAACTAATACTGCTTGTTTAAAAAAAACACAGAAAAAGCTAAAGGCTCATAATTGTAGAAAGTGGAAAGAGAAAAATCCCCCATTACTCAGCCCTGGGGATTCCTAGCATTATCTGTGTACTGGATTCCTTCCTGTCTTCATATGTTTAGGCTGTGTATTCAAATATATACATACATATACACACACATACATACATACATACAGATAGATCTCCGCCCATCAACTATCTATCACCTATCTATCTATTTTGTTAAAAAACATGAAAAAGATTTTTACAATCATGTTTTGCTTAATATTACACCCTGTTTCATCCTGGACATCTTTTAAAAATCTCTTTTGTTATTATTGGGGAGTTGTAAAAAGGATTGCAATTCCGATGCCAGATTGAGCAATGTCACCTCTTTCTTCCCTTCCCCCACGTCCCCCTCCTATGTTTACCCACAAGTTACATAGTTCACTTTTGTATATTAATACAAAATTGACTACATTTGCTCACCCTTCCTCCCTCCAATCCTATTCTACTCTTTTAATTCCCTCCCGCCCCCAAAAAACATGTTTGCATTTCCTGGAATTTGTTTTGATAAATAGTACTTTAGTTGTTCAGGGAAGTTATGCCTTTGGATTCCTCCCCTACATATACCCTGCTTTAGTAATTTTGTATGTAAATGCATTGATCCCCGTATATGTTATAATGTCCAGTCGTGTTTTTTTAGATCTAGTTTCAACATATGAGAGAAAACATGTGCCGTTTGTCTGAGCTTGCTTACTTTACTTCACATGATTTGCTCTAAGTCCATCCATTTCTCTGTAAATGACATATTATCCTTTCTAATGGATAAGGCAAAATCCATTGTGTGTGTATATATATATACATATGTATACATATATATAGTATATATGTATATATGTATCACATTTCCACTTACCTATTGCCAGGCATCTGAGCTGTTGCCATAACTCTGCTATTGTGAATAGTGCAACAGTGAACATACATGTGCAAGTGTGTTTATGGTATATTGACTCATAATGCTCTAGGTAGATGCTCAAGAGTGGTTTGGCTCGATCATAGGGTAGTTCTAAGTTTGGTTTTTGAGGAATCTCCAAACCTTCCTCCGGAGTGGTTTCACTAGTTTATATTTCCACCAATAGTGGAAAGGGTTCCCTTTCCTCCGCATCCCCACCAGCATTTGTTATTGTTTGAATTCTCCATGTTGGCCCATCTTACTGGGATGAAATGGAATCATTATGTTGTTTTGATTTGCACTTCCTTTATGGTGAGGAGATGTTGAACATTTCCTCATTCTTACCTCTTCTTAGAAGTCTCTGTTTACATCCTTTGCCTATTTATTGATGGGTTTATTAATTTGAGAGGAGTTAGTTTCTTGTGTTCCTTGTATATTTTGAATATTAAGTCCAGTCTGTTGGCTGTCTTTCTACTTTAGTAAATATGTCCTTTGCTATACAAAAGCTTTTTAGTTTCATGTAATCCTTTTGCTGGACATTTTTATGCAGTGTATCA